ATTGTGGATTTTTCCTGAGAAAATCTTTCATTTATCTGGACTAACAGAAGGTTCAGAACTGATTATAAAACAGAAATGTTTACTAAACATCATAAATGTTTTGCTGTGATTTCTCTTAGAGTCTATCAGAAGAAAACTGAAAAGATGTAATCATATCATGTTGTTGAACAACCACAGAATTTTAACCTTGGGCTGGCGCCGGCTGGCAAATCTTTATCTTTCTTTCTCTGACTCATCTCTAAGCCTGAGGGCGGAACCAAAGTTCGTCCGTTTCTTTTACTAACCCAGATGGCTTTGAGCGACACACTCTTCTTCCTGATTCCAACCTAGGAAGACAGCTGGGATTCTCTCCGGAGAAACCTCAGTTTGGCTTAAAGTCTGATCTCATGAGCTAATTAGGGAAGACTTCACAGCCAGGGACCCGGCACGCCAGCCAGTGGTCTCACCCCGGGGCTTCAAGCCTCTAAAGTGTGTTTTAAACTCCCGAAGGGAGATTTTATTTTGTAAAGAGGAACCTGATACGGCGTGAATTTTTCTGGTTTGGACTGAAACAGATGCAAGTTACCTGGAAAAACACCTACTCGCCAATGACCAGTAAGCGAGCCGACATCAGTTCCCTGACTGATCGGAGGCGAGCCAGCTCCTACCCCGAGGGTGCCTTAAGAAACCATCACCAGGTAAAGCTGATGTGTTTGGAGTGACGTGTCATGTGGACCCTGAGCTTAGAAAAGACGTGCAGTTCCGGTTGACCCACACTTCGATAAAAGTAAAAGTAGTAGTAACATACTAATCTTACTTTCCTCCTTTCCTTGTTCTTAATTTGCCAAAACTTAAGTTAAAAGTGCCAGTAAAATCGTTTGGTTGTTAACATCAGAACTGACGTTTTCACTGTTCTATATACAGTAAGTAATCTGAGTCGATGTGAATTGAAATTCGGATGCGGGTTTTATCTTAGTTAACTCTGTCTTGTTATAGGAATAACCACAATCAAGTGTAACTTATGATCTGTTCAATTTGTATAAATAAATGATTGCATAGTCTTTTATGAATCAACTTGAACTCGTCTGAACGTTCACTTATTGTGTCACTTTTCACTTCATACAGTCAAGATATTAACAAGTAATGAGAAATACTTTGGTAAAAGTTTCCTCATAACCTTGTGTATGAGAGATGTGGGAGAAGCTTAATGCCACCTTAAGCTCACCTCCTAAACCGGCGCTGTGCGATGCGATTCTGCCTGCCATYAGGTCTCTAGTATTCATATAATATCTATGACTAGCGCACCAATGCAGCTAAAGCTTCCCCACATTGTTCATATGTTCATGTATTTAGTTTTCTGATAATAGTTCAATGTTGAAAATCAGTCTAATGAAAAATACTATTTTAGGCATTCAGACTGACTCATAAAGTGTCCCCTCTCCATCTCTATCTTCTACTGCTTATTCATAGTCTGGATGCAAAGGTGTCCGGTCCAGGACAGAAACCCAGACATCCTTCTGTCCAGCTTCTCCTGGGGCAACCCAAGGTGTGCAGAGGCTAGATAGGATACACAATCCCTCCAGCAGCTTCTGGGTTTTCTCTGGGGCTCCTTCTCTTTGGGACATGCCCAGAAATCCTCCTAAGGGAAGACATCCTAATCAGAAACCWAAATGATTTCTTTCAATGTGAAGGAGCAGCTGTGAGCTCCCTCTGGATGATGGAGCTCATCACATTATCTCTGAGGCTGAGCACAGCCACCCTATGAAGAAAGCTCTTTTTGTTTGCTTGTATAAAGACTTTACAGCCTAGGTAATTATCAAAGTGTTAACTATTTGTTAATCCTTTATGAGGACAGGCTTAAGTGTTACCTGCTTCTTTTCTCCCACATTCAAATCACTCAGCACGATCAACAGTGAATCAATGACTGAGTGAGAGCTTGTCACATAATCCCACATCCTGCTGGAGATTACTGTCTCCAAAGAGATTTAGCTGAATCATTTCTTCCAACACATCATGCAACAGCCTATTAAGACGGTCACATGGTTTACCTGATCTTAAGTTGACCCTCATTTTAAATAATCGTTTAGATGAACCTCATCTTCAGCTCCACCCCAGCCCTCTGTCATCTGTAGATACTGTACAAATCTGTCTCCCAAAGCTTTGAGTTCAGGGAGGAATTAACAGGAAGACGTGGGAGTWTGAAGGCAGGATGTAACACTAAGATGTGCAAACAAGTGATTAATGCTGGACAGACTGTGATTTGCTGCGCTTACAAAGTGAGCTTATTTCCTTTCTCCTACCTGGTTTGACAGGTGCAACAGCTAATCACACTGGCCGTGTGTGGGCGAGCAGAAGTGAGCTGGGACTGCGTCTCTGCTGACACCTCCGCAGATTCAGTGTGAAGCTGGGAGAGAGAAACGCAGACAGAATGAACAGAGAGACGAGGACAGAGGGAGTGAGAGGGAAGAGTGAAGGAGACTGGGAGATATATTTGATCGTGTGGGCGTGCAAAGMATTGAGGCATGCATCATAACTGTGGCTTCTTCTTGGAGCAGCTGGACAAGTCGCAGCATCAGCAGGACATCGTTGGTCCTTCAGAGTCATCTTGGACTTTTAGAGCAGACAGCGACAAAATGGAAACCGTTTTGCTCCTGCTGGCTGATGGACCTCATTAAACGGGGATACAAAACCCACCTCAACGGACTGAAGTTATGTCACAGAWAATGTGTGGCAAATGCTCCTGTACCGTCAGTAACTGAGAATCTGAGTCAAGATTTCATCTGAGGTGAGTTTTTAATCAAGATTTGAAATGTGTGGCATTCATTTAGTTTGTGCTGCAGTTTATTCTGCTTCTCAGTTAAGATTAGGAGAACATTATACTGTATATTTCAAGTTTGACGATTAAAGTCTGTTGTATTCAGTGTGTTGATTAGAATGTGRTTGGTTGTGTCTATGAGAGTCCTCYRAAGTGGTCTGAAACATGATGTGTGTGTTCCTGTTCGCACAATTTCTCTCTGCTGTTAGATGCTGAACTCGACTCCTGAAAAGCCCAGTATGTAATGCAGCCAGCCCACGCTGTTTCCCGTCTCCATGGAAACTATTGCCCAGTGCTAAAAGCAGTTCTGTTGTTGCGGAGAGTGTGTGTTTTGTGTGCGTCTGTCTGAAAGCTGAACATTTACCACAACAGGCTTGTTGGATCCTGACTTCATTGTGTAGTTCTGTTGTGGTTGGAATTATTTCTCTGCTTAATCAGCTCCACASCACTAAAACTGTCCATCTGATCAAGTCGGAAAAGTGATTTTAATCTTGTTTTATGACTGAAATAAGTTGTACATTTTCTTTCTGCTCTGGCACATTATTTTACTTACTTTATGTAATGGAAATAATATTTCCACAACACTTCATGTTTGATTCTTCTCTAATTAGGTGAAATAGTCTGCCAGAGCAGTGACAATTGCACTTAGTGAGACATCGAAACAAGGCAAAACTAGATGAATAATCCAATATGWGACCCATCATATCGAAACGAGGATTAAGCKAAATTTGGTCAAAATGACCCAATTACATTTTCAGATTCCTGGCTTTAAAAGCTACGTTTTGACACCTGGATCATTCTGATATCATAAACGGAACAAGAGAAATGCATTAATATGTCTTGTTGGTTATGATAATACATTAATATTTGGTTGGAATCCTAATTTTTTGTCATTTTTATGAGAAATTTTTCCATTTCATTATGAACAGGAAACCTCAAATAGTATTTGAATATTGACATTTCCCAGTTTGAAAAAAACAAAATGTTGCTAGCTCACAAGAAAAATCTCAAAATTTTAAGGCATTTTTTCCCTCAAAATCAGTATTTTTGTTGCTACTGCTCAAAAAAGTGCTACATTTTTTTAGGTTTATATTTCACACAGTTCAGTCAAATGAAACATTGATAAGCCATTTATTTGTTATATTTAGACAAAATGCAATTTTTGTAAGTGTTTGAATCAAAACACTATATTTGCCTGTTTCTCCATGTACTAATCCTCATTTCGATGTGATGGGTCTCATATATTCTGCTCTTGTTGAGTATTTCAGTCTCAAACAACGATAAAAAAGACTTGGTTGGACAAGTTTTTGCAGTGTAAAATGTGCAGTTTGATTTGGACTTGTTGCTTCTTTAACTTTGTGTGTGTGTTGTGTTTCTAAGATGGCCCTCAGCCCCGTCCTCCTCTGTCTCCTGTCACTGATTGGCTGCAGCTCCTGCCACCACCCTTCTTCTCCCCCACCTCCTCCCCGGGGGTGCAGTGTGGATGTGGAGCCCCCCTACAGAGTGCTGTGTGACCTGGAGTCAGTATGGGGTGTGATCCTGGAGGCCGTGGCCTGCAGCGGGGGTCTCACCTCCCTGGTGCTGGCGGTGCTGCTCATAGTTAAGCTGCGTGTGGTCTCTGACCCCGCCAGGCGGTCCGGCCTGGGCCCGCTGCTCCTGCTCCTGGGCACGCTCCTCGGCCTCTTCACCATCTCCTTGGCATTCCTGGTGGGGAAGACGCAGGTGCTCTGCGTGGTCCGGAGGGCCTTCTGGGGTCCCCTGTTTGCTCTCTGCTTCTCCTGCCTGTTGGTGCAGGGTGTGAGGCTCAGAAGGCTGGTGGCTGGAAGGTCCAGCCCAACGGGGAGCGCCCTGGCAGCACTGGGACTTGCTCTGGCTTTGGTTCAGGGGATCATCTCGGCTGAGTGGGTTCTCCTGACCGTCGTTAGGGAGGGTCACCCAGCCTGTGAATACCCACCTCTGGACTTTGCCCTGATGTGCAGCTACACCCTGGGTCTGCTCCTCATAGCCATGGGTCTCTCTCTTGGCGTGGTGCTGTGCGGAGGAGAGTGGGCAGAGGAAGGAGGAGATGGAAGAGAAGAAGACGGAGAAGGAGAGGTTGAAAAACGAAGCTGGAAGTGTAACGCWGTCTGGGTCTTTCTATCCAGTCTGGCGTCAGCGTTGCTGTGGGTGGCCTGGCTGGGCTTTTACCTTTACGGCAGCCAGGCACTGAGGGGAAAGGGGAACAGAGAAAGAGGAGGGAAGCGGGATCTGAAAGTGTTGGATGAGCCAGCGCTGGCTGTGGCCTTGGTGATTCAGGGTTGGATCCTACTGCTCCTCCACGCTATTCCAGAGTCGCACTTCTGCCTGCGGAAACCTCAAGAGTCCAACACACAAGATTACTTCGACACGAGTCGCGCGTCTCCTGCTCCACCGTTTGGAGATGAGATCCCTGCACACTCCCACCCACCCTTCAGAGAAAACCAGGCCTTTTCAATGGAGGAGCACAGTACAAGTAGGTTTGCATAATAAAATAAAGAAAAAGCATATCGTATGAGGAATGGCCCCACCATCATATACAGTATATCATAACCAATCATATTCAGGAAAAATTGTGTTTGACATTCAAGTTTCGAGCAAATGATGAGTCAGCTGTTYCTAGGCCACTTGACAACAAAAATGGATTCAGCTCCTGATCCCTTTAATGATGGGGACTGCTTCCAGAGGAGTTTAAAAATGAAATTAACGTTAAGAGCAATGAAAATAATAAAAAATAAAAATAAATGAATAAATAAACTAACTAAAAGCCCAGTAATTTTTAAAGGACTGCCTAACGCCCCTTTGTAGGCCAGAATTTCAAACTAAGACCTTTATTTTTAGATAAAATATGCAATCTCATGCAATATCAGGAGTCATGCTGAGGACATCTGTTGGAAATTGCTTTAAGTTTTTACTGCCTCAAACCTGAGCTCAGCATCTGTAAAAGGCCCAGTCCCAATGCTCAGTGCGCACCCTACGCCCCTCTGTGAAGTGTGGATTCAGTCGAAGTGCACATAGTGTTCGAGTGCGCAGGTTACAAGTGAGCAAAACAGTTGAGAATTGGGACAGTACGGATTACGTCGTCAAACACCGGTAGCTACCGGT